CCCCCCCCCACTTCCAAAGAAGTGCTGTGGCATGACTGTCCTCCCCACTTCCCAAGGAGCTCTAGGGCAAGAATGCCCCCCACTTCCAAAGGAGCACTAGGGCAAGAATGCCCCCCACTTCCAAAGGACCACCATGGCACGAATACCCCCACCTCCAAAGGACCACCATGGCATGGATGCCCCACCACTTCAAAGGAGCACTGAGGCATGAATGCCCCCCCAACAAATAAATAAATGTAATTTATTTATTAGAAGTTTATCCCATTTTTGTCTACTCAAAATCCATTAAGTTATTTTTACGTTGCATCAGCAGTTAAAGGAAGAGACTTTGATTTGGCATGTTATATGATAAAATTTGTCAGTGTTTATAGCACCTCAAGCTATATTATATAAGACATCAAAATGTTCTTCACTGAAAGAGGAAAGGGCAACCAGCTAGCTGAACCTTTATCACTTGATTTGTGCTCTATCAGTTTCAGGGTCAAGATCAAAACCATTAAGAAACACTCTTTTCTATTTGAAAATACTTATTCCAAAAAATTACCACACTAATATATGAGGTGGTTTCTTATTTCCATGTGGTACCTTTTCTAGACTCTTTCCTATTGGTATGTTTAACTTGTTTACAGCTTGAACTATAGGTCTTTGTACAATAACTAACAATTCTGTCTCACTTTTCCCATTGGTAAAGCTGAAAATACCTACCTCATATGATCTTTTCAGGATTTAAGATAGGTCTATTTACATAGAATAGCACCCAGCACAAAAAAGGTATCATATAAATCAGCTAATGTAGTAAAAACTACATCCAAGAAATGGCGGCCACGCAAGTGCTTCAGACACAGGTGCAAGATGTTCAGATGTGGAGGAAAATGATCCAACCAGAAACGGTCACCTAATGGCACTAAACTTCTGACTCTGCATATTATCAGCAAACCTCTCAAAACAAGACAACCAATCCATTCTTCCAACTGATAGAGTAAGAATAATGCCAACTTTACGCAAACTCTTCTGGAAAATGAAGAACAAGAAGACTAGTATCTGGTAATTATCTTCCATAAACTCACATTACCCCAGTTCAACCTCAGAACAAGATTACAGAACTGGCACTGTCTTGCATTTACCATAGGCAGCAATTACAAGAAGTGCCACTATCATCTACAATGTGAAGAGTGTAGTCAATAACTATGAAACAGTCAGATTTCAAAAACGTTAGAAAGCTGAATAAATATCTGTCTTATATTTGATGAAATCCTTCAGGTTTGACAGATTAGAAACCCAAAGAGAGGTGAAATAGGCAATACGATATAATAAGTGGAATCGTGGCTTTCAGCCCAAAGGACTCTGACAGCCAAAGCTTGTGCTATTTCTATTAAAACCTATTCTCTTCTCCAAGCTTTTCTGGAAACCTTTACTATGCAGTAACAATCTTATCAGTAAAAACGTGCACTCTCTGGGGCTGAAGGTCTAATTTAGTTAGTAGAGGGCTTGCCCAGCAGGCATAAAGCCATCGGTCCCCAGCACCCCATGAATGCACTGTGGTGGCATTAGCACTGGGAAGGTCAAGGGAGGGATACTATGAGTTGCAGGTCACTTTGGCCTATAACCAGTAACAAAACAAAAAAGGAAATGGCCCTATCCCCAGAATAACAAGACTAGCATTTTTTTTTTCCTTTAGCATTTTGAAGAATATATCAGAAGACATCTTAACCTCGGGCTTTGTTTGTATAAATTTTGTGGTTTGGGGGTTCTTGTCAGGAGAGGGTGTCAGTAGGTAGTGCTGGGATCCAGTACTGTCAAGCCTCTATTAATAAGACACCCTTGGCTCCTGAAGTAACATTTGTAAAGATTTAATTCCTAATGAAAATACATTACTATTCAGATTTTCTAATTCCTGATCTATCAATTTGGATAAATTGTATTTTAAAGAAGTTCATAAATTTTTGCTACATAATCTATTTGGCTGAAGCTATTAGTAAAACTGTCTTATAGTTTATACTACTGTGATAAAACACCATGGCCCAAAGCAACTTGGGGAGGAAAGGTTTTGTTTCATCTTACAGTTTATAGTCCATCATCTAGGGAAGTCAGGACAGGAACTCAAGGCAGAAACCTGGGGGCAGGAGCTGATGCAGAGGCCAAGAAGGGGTACTGCTCACTGGCTTGCTCCTCCTTTCTCATACATAACAAGACCATCTGCCTAGGGGTGGCAACTCACACAAAGGTCTGGGCCCTCCTATATCAATCATCAACCAAAAAGAATGCATCATAGGCCAATCTAATGGGAGCCATTACTCAACTGAGATTCCTCTTCCCAAATGACTTTAACTAGTGTCAAGTTGACATAAATATAGCCAGCACAACTGATTTCTTGTCAACTTTACACACAAACATATCACTGTTAAACCATAACCTTTCCTGTCCCAATATGTCATACTAATATCAATATCAATATCAATATAAAACATATTCCAAACTTTAAAAGTCCCGTAGCCTTTCAAAATTCAAACCCTTTAAAACATTCAAAAATCTCTTTCAAGGTTCAAAGTTTCTCTAAAATATACAAAGCCTCTCTAAAATTGTAAAGCCTTTCTAAATACTCAAGATCTCATAACTGTTGGTTCCTGTTTAAAACAAAACAACACAACAACAAAAGTTATTTTCTTATTTCAAGAAGGAAGAAGCACAACACAGTCACGACCAAATCAAAGAAAACCAAAGTTCAATAGCATAGAGCTCAGCAGACTTCCGGTCCTTACGAACTTCCACACAGCTCGTCACAGCATACACAGCCTGTCTTACAGGCTCCAGGCAGCTCCACTCCACAGCTGCTGCTGTTCTTGGTGGTGGTCCATGGTGCTAGCATCTCCGAAACACTGGTGTCCCGGGCTTCAAGCAGCTGCACTCTTACCAGCAGCCCCTCCTGAGATCTCATCAGGCCTAAACCTAGCACATGGCATCGAGCTTCAGTTTCACTTCATGACACCTAGGCTTCAACTTCACAAATGGTCTTTCACAGGCTCACTTTAGGGACTCCAGGTCCTTGTCAAGCCTCAGCTGTACTCCATGACCTCTTTATGCCTTCAAAATCTTTTCCCTTTCTTTTTAGAATTTTACTAATATTTTCAAAGAACTTTTTTCCCTTGCTTTGTGTGATTGGTAACTGTGTGCACTTAGCCTTATAAATGCTGTCATTTAATATATCCTTACCAAGAAGGGGACTAGCTGAAGAGATGGTTTAGTAACTAAGAACCAAAGTTTGCTTCCCAGCACGCACCCTCCTGCCTGTAACTCCAGCTCCAGAGGATCTGACACTCTTTTTGCAGGGCACCTGGCACAGGCATAGCAGACACGCACGCATGAATCACAATTTAATAAAACTGGAAACCTAAATGTTTTTTATGGAGACAAATCAAAATTTGCAATGAGTTGTCACCAGAAATAAGTCACCCAAAGGGTCAAGATAGTAAGAAATTTTATGTTGAACAAATGCAAATGTACAAAAAAACCCCCATCTTTCTGAGAAAGTTTTAAGTTTTTATGCACATGCACAATTCTTATGTAGGAGTTCAACAT